TTTGGCATTTCAGTTTAAAGAGTTTACATAGTTTGGCTTAGGCTCGAAATTTAAAAACGAAAAATTAATCAAAACAAGAAAATAAGCAAACTTCGGCAAGCCGAAGTTCATATACCCTTGCAGCTATCGCCAGAATTAAATATTTTTGAAAACATTAAAATTATGATTTACTTCCGTATATGTTTAAAAACATTGAAGCCATGACGATTTGCAGCTTAATTATTTGATTGTTCTTTTATATATTTTTATTATTTGTATGGGAGCTATATGATATAGTCGTCCGATTTTGATGAAATTTAAACCATAATTCTAAAATATTTAACCATTGCTATATGTCGAAGAACTAAAAAAAAATTTAAAAAACAGCAAAGTTATAATTTTTTTTCAATTATTTTTCCGATTGTTCCTATGGGAGCTATATCCTATAGTCGTCCGATTTTGATGAAATTTTAACCATAATTCTGAAATATTTACCCATTGCTATATGTCGAAGAACTAAACAAAAGATTAAAAAACAGCAAAGTTACAATTTTTTTTCAATTATTTTTCCGATTGTTCCTATGGGAGCTATATGCTATAGTCGTCCGATCCGGCTCGTTCCGACTTATATACTACCTGCAATAGAAAGACACCTTTTGGGAAAGTTTCATGCAGATAGCTTTAAAACTGAGAGACTAGTTTGCATATAAACGGACGGACAGACGGACAGACGGACGGACAGACGGACGAACAGACGAACATGGCTAGATCGACTCTACTAGTGATGCTGATCAAGAATATATATACTTTATAGGGTCGGAAACGTCTCCTTCACTGCGTTGCAAACTTCTGACTGAAATTATAATACCCTCTGCAAGGGTATAAAAAGGCTAAAAAAAATTTAAGATTTTATTTAAAATTAATTTAATTCAAAATTTATTGGCAAAGATTTTTAAAGAATACAAGTAAATAAATAAGAATATTTTTAAGCATAATGAATATGAATTCATTTACATTAAGATATATAAAGTTAATAAATTACATTAAGTTATATAAATAACGGAAATCCCACACCATCTCCTACCAAAATAATTTTTTTCAGAACATCACTAACTAGTTTTAATGACTTAAGAGAGGAAAAATGCTCGAAAGTAAATATAACTTTGAGCAGAGTAGAGATCAGATAAGATGAGATCATTGGGGATCATAAAACAATGTGAAAATGAGATAAAGATAACTAAAATGACTTTGCATCCAAGATTTAAAATATAGAATTCAAGTTCTCCCCTTCACCAGCTAGCATTCCCAATTAGTTCTGGTTTTTGCGGTTTTCCCGATTTAGCTATGTCGAAAAAAAAGAAGAGAAACAGTGCTTTACAAACTTTTGCTAATTAGCAGCCGTTTTAAAAACAGTTAGTTGAGGCCACGCACCTGTTTAAATATATTTGCGTATCCAATTGGAGCAGACGACTGACTTTAACCGTTAGCGGGACATGAATTTGGTTAAAAACAAAATGAAAAAAAAAACTATTTGCACTTGGCGAAAAGCCACAACACAGTTGAAAAGTGGAAACACACACACGCGAGCATAGGTGAGAGGGAGATGAAGAGAACCGGCGGAGCGCAACAGTTAGACTTGTTTTTGTTGTACATGTATTTGGTGCAGAACAGGTAGTTGCACAAATTATTGCCTAAAATCAACTATTTGTCTTGTATTTCATTCGATCTACTTGCACTTTCACTCAGATCGTCATTTTCCGCATATAAAAACACTTTTTGCTATATATTTGTGTGTAAATTGTAATTGTACGCGTGCGTAACGTTGGCAACGTCTTTAATTTATTTTATGGCTGTGATTTCGGGTTATTACTGTGGGAAATACCACCGCGCGCGCTCTATCGAAAATATGTAAATATCAAGTAAATAAAACTGTAAGTTCCGTTGTGTATTTTTCGTTAGTCCAAAGTTTCCCGTATGGTTGATATATCTATAAAATTCGACTGCACGCGCGCAGCAGCATCAGCAAACGAACAACCTGTCTTGTGATTTTTAGTCTTTTTAAAAAACACGCTCCGTCACAACCGCCAGAGTTCACCTCCGATTTGTTTTTGTTTAACTTATAATGCTGTGAGTCCACTGTGACCATTCGACGTAAAATCCACCACTTGCAACACTCTCTCGCGGTATTTTTGAATGGTTGACAAACTACCCTACTAAATGTGCACCTTCGGCCACACCGCCAAATGGTCCACATTCGAATTTAGAAACAGACATTGACGGTAGACGGTGGCAGTTTGAATTGGAGTTTTACTTTTTCACCGTCTTCTCATCGATCTTCTTATTTTGAAAATTTCTATATTTATCGATAATTCGTTAGGGCCACCATATGCAAGAATGGCGCCATTTTTGAATTCTTTTGAAGCTCTGCTGCGATTGGGTGTATGGGATTGAAGAATTGTGGACCATTCCGCAAATGGACAGTGTAATTAGGCTATTATAGGCATTTGCTGGCGAGTCTGATTTAGTGGAAACAGGTTATACATCTGATATTTTTATAGGTATTTTGCTGGTGAGTCTGATTTAGTATATTTCAGCGTAATGTTAGTAAGTTTACACGGTCATACTGGTCGCAAATGACTATTTATGTTATGAACAACTGTTCGGGAGCAAACGGAAATTAATTAATTAAGCGGTGCAATATGACGTCCATAGCAGGAGGCCACGGCGAGCCGAATCCTAACAGCTCCTGGCTGAGTGCCCGCGGGTTCTGGCTGGCCTACCTGCTAGGCCTGCTGTCGGTGCACCTTATCTTCTTATCAGTGCCCTTCGTGAGCATTCCCTGGGCTTGGACGGCCACCAATCTGCTCCACAATGCGGTAAGGTCGAAAACCCAGCTGCATCGACATCAAACCTAATCGCTGTGTGTCTGTGCCCAGGCCCACCTGTACTTCCTGCACGTCATCAAGGGCGCTCCGTGGCTGAGCACCGAGAATGACCCAAGCCGGCGATGGACACACTGGGAACAGATCGACGACGGCGTTCAGATGACCACCACCCGCAAGTTTCTCACCGCCGTTCCCATTGTGCTGTAAGTGCATTCCTAGTTTGGGACACCCATGGATGAATGGGCCTGAATATGGGACCTGTGACCAGGGGGCTGTTTTTTTTATTAGTTTTTACAGGAGTCTCGAGACGAAACACTAGAACCGAAAACTAAATTCTAAAAATTAACAAGACAGGTCGCAATCTTTGGCAAACCGAAGTTTATAAACCCTGGGAGCTATTACAAAAAACCTATATGTATTATACGTATTCAATCAATGAGATGAGATGACGTCGTTGTCCGATTTAATTGTAAATGTAACAGTAATCCTGAAATGGAAAACTATTACTATATCTCGGTACATATTGGCATAAAACATAAAAACAGAGAAGTTAGATTTTTTAAAATTTATTTTTCCGATTGTCCTAGTGGCAGCTACATAATATAGTCGTTCCTTATATACTACTTGCAATAAAAAAAAAACTGAAGAAAGTTTCAACCAGATAGCTTTAAAACTGGAAGACTACTTTGATAAGAAACGAACAGACGGACATGGCTACATCGACTCTCCTAGCGATACTAATCAAGGATGTTTATACCTTCAGTTTCTTTCAAAAACAATAATTCATACTTTGTAAAAATGACATTGAAAAACGTGACCTTAAACGTAGATTAAATATTTGTGTTTATTGAACTTGTAAGATATAAGATACCACAAATTGGATGGAAGTTAAGTAAAGATTTAAAAACGGGCCTTAGGTTAAAAAACAGTGTATCGTTGAAACTGAATTATTTTATAACGAATTTGTTTTTACAGATTCCTACTTACTTGCTTGTATACCCGGAACAACACAGAACACTTCATTGCGAACTTTATATCCCTCGTAGTGGTCACGCTTCCCAAATTGCCGCAGTTTCATGGAGTACGATTGTTCAATATTAACAAGTACTAAGTACTTGTTACATCGATTGGATTAAAAAATGTATATAATTAAAATGTACTCAATTTGTAAATCATGTAAATATCCCTAAATAAAAAAATACAAATAATTGTGTATATTTCTATTGAATCTTGATTTTTGAGGTCAAATGTTTTAGACATTTTTATATACGTTTGAATTTTTAAGAAGATGAACTTATAAGTCTAGTAAACGATGTTAGAGCTAAGCTTTTGTAATTACTTGCACATGAAATTTGTTTTATAGCAAATTTTTTTCTGCACTTGATGGCAAATTCCTAAATGTGTAGTAAAGAAAAACCGAATTTTCAAATCTGGATTAAATTGTCCAGGTTACATTAAGGGTAATATATAATTTAATTTATTTATTTAAGGTTAATTATAAATCCGACCGAATTAGGAGTATTTTTTATAGACAGGTATTTTAAAATGTTTGCTGCGTTAAACCATACATGACCATATGTTGTATGGTTGGTGGTTAAAAGTACAACACATCAAAATATGTTTTGCAAATTTTTAAGTTCTTTCTTTCTTTCTTGTTTAACTTAATTTTAATTGTTTTATAATGTATGCTTTTATGAATGAGCCAAGCATTTGAAGGGGCTAAAATTATTCTGATTGGTCGTATTCAGCAAAACAACATGATCACTGAATTTCTTACGATAGTTCTGCTGAACGCGTATGATCACTGATCATGTTGCAAAAATTCGTCATTAAAAAAAGGAGCGTAAAAACAGTACACTACATTTTCTAGATACGTAATACATATCTGCTATCCTATATCGATGGAGTAAATGTCGATAAGAATAATCAGAAAAATCAGAATGTAAACAACAAATAAAAACAAAACAAGCCAAATTTAATTATTTAATGCGTAATGCGTATTCATAAGCGTTCAGCAGAACAAACTTGATCACTGATTACTGATCCATCAGTGATCTGTGATCATGTTGTTATACTGAATACGCCCATTGCTAAATCGTATCAGCTATTGAAATAATATCAGTAATCTAAGTTGAGAGCGATTTGGTCACACTTGAAACAATTTTTCTTATCTTAATTATCGGAATTGTATATTCGTGGTCAAGCTAAAATAGATTTAATGGGTAAGCAAACTTTTATTTTTAATTTAACATTGGCCACTGACTTATATTAATTTGTAATTTGATCAGTTTTGACACAATGGAATCTCGAAAAGCAGCTTTTCGTAATCCCGAATTAGTAGAAAAGCTGAGTGCAGCAGTTAAAGAGTTTTTCAATTTACATGATCCTATTTTAAGAGTGAATGATTCATACAATATTAACATAATATTGAATAAAAATGGAATCGAGATAGGCATATCTGAAACAAAATTTGATCAAACAATGGAACACAATCTTGAACAGATAGAAAATTTAAAAAAAACAATTGCCACTCAAAATACAGAAATTTTGAATCTTAAAGATGAAATGGCTAAATTAGAATCGGGTGCTAATAAAAACGATAAACAGCTGAGAGAGAAGATTGCCGATCTGGAATACAAAGTTAGAACCGAAACTCCCAGCCCCAAAGTTGTAAGTAGTTTTGACGATCCCCCCGGCAGATCTGGTTGGACTGTAATTCAGTGTCGTAAAACCGGACAGCTTGATTTCATTACGGAGAGCTATTTGTATAATATCGGCTTTGGTGATCCAAGTAATGAGTATTGGATTGGTTGCGAGAAACTGCATAAGATCACGAATAGCCAACGTCATGAACTATATATTGACTTGGAGGACTGCACTGGAAGGCAATTCTTTGCTCGGTACAGTAACTTCTCAATAGGCAGTTTAGAAGAAAAGTACAGACTTAAGTCCCTGGGAAAATACTCTGGAAATGCCGGCGATGCTCTGCGAGACCATGAAAATCAGAACTTTGAATTCTACAACAATTGGAAAGGCGTATACAAATCATTTTCTTGGTGGACGGCTCAAAGTTTTAAATGGTGAGAAAATCTTGCACGAAATTAGTTATGTAACTGCTGTCTATAATATTGTTTCTTTTTAGTAATTTAAATGGAAACTACAACATAACGAAGACCAATTTAATACCAGAAGGATTTTGGTGGGGTGAATTGTATTCTCTAAAATATTGTAAAATGAGCATTAGACCAAACATGGAGTAAATTAACATATATGGTTCAACAGTTGATACACCCAGAGGAAAATCATAACAAATTTAAGTTGATAACAAAGATATTAATCAAGTACATTGAGCCCAATCTGATAATTTTACTTAGCTACTCAGTTGGAGTACACATTTTCCGGAAGCAGAGAACTCCTGTGTTTGACCCATTCCCAAAACTATTTTAAATTAATTAGTGTTTAATTAACACAATTAATTAACAACAATTGTAAATTCACGATCTTTCTCTGAGCGAAATGACCTTCCAGCTCAGCAATAGTTATTAGAGCCCTTACATCCCGCGTCAGTCAACTTGACTGTCAGATATAGCTTTTTAATTTAAGTTTTTATTAACTTATTGTTAGTCTCAATTCAGAGAAGATTCAATAAATAAAATGCATATGTAAACAAAAAAAAAAAACTTAGTTGGAGTACACATTTTCCGGAAGCAGAGAACTTCTGTGTTTTAAATATTCTTAAACTAATTTAAATTATTTAGTGTTTTTTTTTTTTTTTAATATGTCTCGATATTCATTTAGATTTGCAGGTAAATGAAAAGACATGGTATGAGGATGCAAAGTAAAATACATTTTTAATCACATCACGCAAATACTGTCAACCGATTTTTCCACCGCACATTGGCAAACCCGAACAACAATTGTAAATTCACGATATTTCTCCAAACGAAACACTTTTTCGAATCGGTCTTTCAATAATCACTCCGTGACTCTCTTTCGAGTTGGCGCTCACAGCAAAACTGTTTTTAACATAATAAGTCTAGTATATTATATTATGTTATAAAATAAGATGTTTAGCATATTATATCTGAATGTGAGCTCTTTTGATAAATCGATGAGTTTTTTTTATGTTTGCTTGGTTGATACGTTGCGAAAGATGTTGCCTGGTTTCCTGAGGCTGGTAGGAAAAGTGTTTTTTTTCCCGAGCTGCGTTCATTGTTTTGTATATTTGTGAACAAAGTTCCCCACTCTGCTAGTGATGTTGGAAACGCCATCCGTAGTTTGAAAGGCCGTAATCAATTTTGCTATAAATAAATAAATTTAAAAAAAATTAAAAATTAAAATTTATTTGGAAATAGTAATAATTTGATAGTTCAGATTTACGATTTTAACTTAATTCAAATCGGCAAACGATATCATACAGCCATGCCATAGGAACGATCGAATATTTGAGCTGAAAATCTTCATAGCTTCAATGTTTTTAAACTTATACGCATATAAAATGTAATTTATATGTTTTCAAGAATATTAAATTTTTGCAATAGCGGCAACAAGGGTATGTAAACTTCCATTCTCGTTTAAAATAATACATATGAACGGCTTGCTTCCTTTTTTGTTAGCGTACATATTGTCCGGCAGTCAAGTTTAAGAAAGAAACATTGCTATTCACTCATTACAACGAGCATTGTGCTTTACAAGCATTGGATATAAACTATCAAAACAATGTGACAAGTGAAATCGTCGGGGCACTCGTGTAACTGCTTCTGTGTCAGTCGCGCCCCCCTAGAGATTATATATTCAACTTAAATAGCGATTACACGGCTGCTCTATCTTCCTCCTCCGATAATGCGGACTGTTTACTATTGTGGGCGGGTGGAATTGCTCTGGATGGGCCGAGCAATCGACTTCTGACAAGCGATTGCCCGGTTTGACTTTGAGGGAGAAGCTCGCGACCCGAACGACTTTGGCTAGCCATAATCAGTTGTGAACTAGACGTAAACAGAGGTGTGCCGGATCGGCGCCTACAGATACCCTAGTAGTTGCTGTCAACTGTTTTTAGGGGAAGGAACGAAACCAAGACACGCCGAGATGTCGATTGCCCTGGAGGAGGAGATCTTTGGCCTGGCCGTGAATCCGTTCACCAAATTACCGGAAATGGTGCGCCGGTTCACGCTGAAGAACTCCAAGGGCATGTCCGTTTCGGTCATCCAGCTGGGGGCAATCATCCAGAGCGTCTGTCTGCCGGATGCCTACAAGAAGGTGGACGATGTGTGCCTGGGCTTCGACGACATCGCCAGTTATGTGGCCAACAAGGTGCTTTTTAATTCTAAATTCTAAAAGCCTTGCAAACAATGTTATATTGATACGTAATTTATGTTTAATTTAACAAGGACGCCTACATCGGTGGAACCCTTGGACGAGTGGCCAACCGGGTGGCCAACGGGGAGTACACGGTGAACGACACAAAAATCCCGGTGACCAAGAACATTCAGGTAAATACTTTGTGTTGGGTTTCTGTTGATCTCAAGTGTTCTCTGTGATTCATGAAACGTCTTAACCCAGATATCTTACTCTTCTGAAAAATAATTTTAGTTTTTTGGTCTATTAAGCTTCAATTGAATTAAGAAAAACATCCTTAAACTCAAAAACAAACAAATGTATTCAATTATTGTCTTTTTAAGACGTCCTTTATGTAGGACACAGGGTACATAGGGTATGGTAAAAAAAATGTACACTTTAGTGTGCAGTCCTACATTACATTTTTGCCTAATGGTTTTGTTTGCCGATCTTGAACTATGACAAGATGATCAAGACAATCATATCGTAAATCCGGTACCTCTTGAGTTCCCGGACGGCTTGTCTGCAAGTTTACACCTTTTTTGTTTTGATGCAGAAGTTTTGTGGCTATGACTACTGCTTGCCGATCTAAATGCCAACTGTTTTGAAGGGCCATGTCAATACAATGTACCAAAAGTGGGCAGTACCATTTCTCTCCTCTGACTGACGATCTGTAGAGGCTTTTATTTTGGTCCGATCTATCGACGCCTCCCATATTTGCATTATACAGGTTAATAAGGTGTGGTTGTTCAACTTGCACAATCTCCTTTTCTTTTCGAGAATAAACATTGTAGATGTGTTATTTACTACTGTCCTATATAAAGGACACCTAGTTACACCCGCTTGAATTATCCACAATTTACAAAATAATTACAAATTTTTATTTAAAAAAAAGACACATTTAACTTTAATTTAAAAACAATCCCGATTTTATTTGCATAGAATTTTCTTACTTTTCGAAGCGTGCCTCGTAATTTTGAATTTTTAGAATTTCACAATATTAAAGACGTGGAAGCATACTATTTGAATGCAACAATAGAAATGAATGCTTCATGACATAATTGAGCACTATTTACTGAACGCAAAAATAACTTTTGTTAACTGCTTTGGCAGTTATGTCCTACTTACAGGACATTAGTTGCATCTGCATAATCATAACTAATATAGAACTTCTCAACTTGCAGGACAATTTCCAGTTGCATGGCGGATTCGTTGGGTTCGACAGTGTCATCTGGGAGGTGGTTCAGAAGTCGTCCGACGGGGTGGTCTTTCGGCACGTATCGCCACATGGTCACGAGGGCTATCCGGGCAACCTAACGGCCCTCATCACATACCAGCTGGACAATGAAAACCGGCTGTGGGTGAGGTACGAGGCCACCACGGATCGGCCGACGATGGTCAATCTGTCGAGTCACGCGTACTTCAACCTGGCGGGTCATGGATCCGGAGCCAAGGGTCTGGCCGAGCACACGGTGGAGATTGCCGCCGATCAGATTGTGGACACGGACGAGCTGCAGATTCCCACCGGCAAGTTGATCGACGTGAATGACACTGTCTTCGATCTGAGGCTGCCGGTTCTGCTGCGCGACCGCCTGATGCAGTTCGAGGGCCGTGCGATCAAGGGCTACGACAACTGCTTCGTGGTCAACGGGGGCCAGCTGCAGAAGAGCATCGCCAAGGTGGCCAAGCTGGTGCATCCGCCCAGCTGCCGCGTGCTGGAGGTCTGGACCAACCAGCCCGGCATGCAGTTCTACACCGCCAACAACTTGACCTCCGTAGTTGGCAAACAGTGCACTCGGTATGTGAAGCACGGCTCCTTCTGTGTGGAGACGGAGAAGTTCCCCGATGCCATGAACCATCCGGAGTTCCCGTCGGTCAGTCTCGAGCCGGACGAGAAGTACCGCCACGATGTTATGTATTGGTTTAAGGTCGAGGAGTCCTGGAAATGCTGCTGCAACAACGATTAATCTCCAGTGAATAAAGCTTAACTATGCCCATGGTTTTCAACCCCAAAGGTTATTGGCTTTGTGTTTTAAGGGATTTGTTTTACAAATTGGTAGATGTTTATAGTTATTCTATATCACACAATTTTCTGCGAAACCTTATTTATGTAGTTAGACAATGTAATAGTAGTGACACTGACACTCATCTTTAAATGATCGTTTTTGTTTTTTCTTGCGGTTGCCTAATTATTGCCTAAGATTATACTGTACATAAGTAGTTGAAAACCAAAGAAATCCAGACCATTTTGCTAATTGTTTTTTTTTTTAATTAAACATTTTCCGAAATGATGAATAATTTCGGTAGGTCCCAATAGAGATATTAGCAAGTTGAAAAACAAGAGAGAACGCTATAGTCGAGTTTCCCGACGAATAGATACCCGTTTCTCAGCCAACAAACTTCAAACTAAGTATTTCCCCTACGCAGTTTAGGTGGCGCCATCTGCCGTACTGCATAGCCTATACTAGAAGCAAAGAGAGTGCAGCACCCCACCCTCCACTTACCGATTACCGTTATGTTTAGCAGAGCCGCGGCAGAGCCGCAACAGAGCGGCGCCAAAGGACTTCATAACCCAATGACAATGACTAAAAGTAAATTTTCATGAGTTTTCAAATTAATAACGTAAAAATTTGTTGAGAACTAAAATAATTTCATGATTTGAAAAAGTTGTGTATTGATAGATATTGCCAAATGAGTAAATATATATATATATATATAATATATATTTTGAAAAAAAGTTGCGCTGCATAAGTATTTCTGGAATCTAGATCTGGATGCTTAGTCCCAGCTCCCCAGCTCTTGCAGTTACCAACTTCTCGACGTTCATACGTATATACAGACATGACTAAATAAAATATGATTTATAGGGTCTAAAAACGCATACAATGTATCCTTTTATGGGAAACGGGTTAACAAATGAACATAAAAGTCTAATTGATATTTATAACGCTGAGATTAATGGGACCGTTTAGAAAACATTTTGAACAAGAAAGAAAGCAAATTTCGGCAAGCCGAAGTTCATATACCCTTGCAGCTATTGCAAGAATTTAACATTTTTGAAAACATTAAAATTATGATTTACTGCGTATATGTTTAAAAACATTGAAGCTATGATGATTAGCAGCTCAATTATTTGATAGTTATTTTATATATTTTTATTATTTCTATGGGAGCTATATGATATAGACGTCCGAATTTGATAAAATCTAAACCATAATTCTGAAATATTTAACCATTGCTATATGTCGAAGAACTAAACAAAAAATTAAAAAACAGCAAAGTTATAATTTTTTTCATTTTCCTATGGGAGCTATATGCTATAGTCGCCCGATCCGGCTCGTTCCGACTTATATACTACCTGCAATAGAAAGACAACTTTTGGGAAAGTTTCATGCAGATAGCTTTAAAACTGAGAGACCAGTTTGCATATAAACGGACGGACGGACTACTACTTTATATATATACTTTATAGGGTCGGAGATGTCTCCTTCACTGCGTTGCAAACTTCTGACTGAAATTATAATACCCTCTGCAAGGGTATAAAAATATATTGGGTATTTTCATATGTATATAATCAAACCTAGTTCTAATTGGTTTCAAGGGTGGGAGCAAAGAAGGTGAGCAAAGTTATCGGCACCCATCTTAGTAGGCTTGGATCTGTGAATCAGTAGACAGAGAGTGTGCTTTTGGAAACTCTTTGAAATCCTTCGCCAGAGTAAAACAGTCTAAATTTCAGTTGTTTCCCTCTAGGCATTTGGCAAAATGGTGCGCGTGATCGAGGACATGTTCGGCATCGCCGTCAACCCGATGACCCAGAAGACGGACCGGGTACGGCGCTTCACGCTGAGCACGGAGCGCGGCATGTCGGTGTCGATCCTGACCCTGGGCGCCATCATCCAGGCGCTGAAGGTGCCCGACTTCAACGGCAAACTGGAGGACGTGTGCCTCGGTTACGACGACGTGGCGGGCTACTACCGCAACCAGCCCTACTACTTCGGGGCCACCACCGGCCGGGTGGTCAACCGGACTGCCCGCGGACGCTTCCAACTCTGCGGCAAGGAGGTGAGTGTGAGCCGCAATGTGCGGGATCGGCACCATCTGCACGGCGGATTCGTGGGCTTCGACAGCGTCATCTGGGACGTGGTGGGGGTGCACAAGGACGGGATCACACTGCAGCACATCTCGCCGGACGGACACGAGGGTTATCCGGGCGAGCTGACCACCAACATCAACTTCTCGCTGAACGAGACGGGCTGCTTCGGGATGCGGATCGAGGCGCGGACAAAGGCCACCACGGCGGTGAACATTTCGAACCACAGCTACTTCAACCTGGCCGGCCACGGAGCCGGCAAGGAGGCGCTCTACCAGCACATGGTGATGGTCAAGGCCCAGAAGATCGTGGACGTCGACCAGGAGCTCCTGCCCACCGGCAAGCTGATGCGCGTGCGCACCACGCCGTACGACTTCTCCAGCCTGGTCAGTCTGGGCAAGCGGCTCAATCAGGTGAGCTCCTGTCCGCTGGGCGGTTTCGACAACAACTTCTGCGTGGATGTCGCGCCCAATCGGGTGCAGTTGGTCGCCAGGGTGGTGCATCCGTGCAGCGGCCGCTTCATGGAGGTGCACACCAACCAGCCGGGCCTGCAGTTCACCACCGCCAACAATCTGCCGGACGAGGACCGCGGGGACATCCCGAACGTGGGCAAGGAAGGGGCCCACTACGTCCGCCAGGGAGCCTTCACCATGCAGACGCAGAAGTATCCGGACGCCATGAACCACTGCGACTTCCCCACGATCGTGCTGAATCCCGGCCAGCTGTATGACCACCAGGTGGTCTATCGCTTTGGCGCCTGCCCCAAACGCGTTTGAATGGAGCAGAACGTGGAAAAAGGAGCTCCGCAGGAATCCATTCGCTTTACATTTTGCCACTTTAAATTCAATTCGAAGTGTGAGTGTCCTTATTGACAACCCTAAATACAATTTTAGTTATATTTATCAGTTGTTGTAATTTAAAAACAAGTACTATACAGTCGAATTCTACGACTATTAGATACACGTTACTCAGTTAAGGGGTTATTTGTTTTTTTATATTTTATTTTGTTATTTATTTAAGAACACATAAGAAAATTTCAAGTTTTAAAAGCGTTATACTTAAAATGGTGTTTTCAAAGTTGGGTACCAACATTACTAGAAAACGGCTAAACCGATTAGTCTCAAATTTTAGCAAGAACTTCTTGGATATATTTTTTAGTGATTAATCAAAGATTAAAGATTTTTATATAAGCAATTTAAGACCGACATTTTGCTTAAAAATCAATTTTTATTTTGAGAAATCGCCATTTTGTCAAAATAGGAACTCCCGGAGACAAACTTCTTTCCAAACCAACATTTTTTCCAATACTTTGTATTAAAACACAGTTAAAATATAACATAATATACTATGTTTAAGCTTCCAAAGAAACGATAGAATAAGTGAGGTGAACATAATTCGAAACTTAGATGTTTTAAAGAAAATTTAATTTTTGCAATAGCTGCAAATGTGTATAAACTTCGGATTGCGAAGGTTTGCTTCCTTTCTTGTTAAGTCTATTCTGTGGTAGAATAGGTAGTTAATAAGTATATGCTTTTTTTGATCTATGTGATTTGACCCTACATTTTTAGAAGTTACTTATTAAAGTCAGGCAAAATCAGTTACTATAGGCGATTCGATTTTACTTTAAGTATGTTTAGAATAGAATTTCTGCTTTTCATATAGCGGAGGCATATTCATTTTGAAATTGGTTCAGAGAAAATACATTCATAGAATCTCCCAGTTTTGCTTGGTTTCAAGTTTTAAAAATAATCGTCGACATGGGCAGCACTTGACATAACAAATTGGTTTGAGTCAGCGCTAAAGTCTTATCGAAGTTCTGCCCCGTTTCGATATTTGTATGTGTGTGTAACTTGGGTATTATTGTAACCCTTCATCTGGTCACTCTAAAAAGCCAAATAAAATAAATATCTAAAGAATTTACGCTCCTAAAGGAAAGGTGTTTTTGTGTGCCACGTCCGGAACCAACTGACAAAAGCCGCCAAGCTGTTCAACCTACCGCAAGTGTACAAACAGACGACCGACTCCAGTCGTCACAGCAGCAGCAGCAGCAGCAGGATGCCAGTGGGTCTTGGTCCTCGAAAGCACCTTAAAATCGATTAAAGTATTTAAAATCCCCAACTTTCCACTCCTCTCGCTCTTCCCGCTCTCCGCAGGTGCACGAATTCAAGGTGGAAATGACCTGCGGCGGATGTGCCAGCGCCGTGGAACGTGTCTTGGGCAAATTGGGCGGTACGTATGTACCATTAGTGCCTGGTATTAAGTTAGTTAATGCCTTCTTATCGGTTGACACATGTATGCATACACAAATCTATATGTAGGCGAACTTAGCTGAAGAATAATTATATGTACAATGTACATATTCTACACGCAGATTTTTAAACTCAAAGCACTGAATGATAAATTAAGTAAAAAAAGATTTGCTGGATTTTTATTTATTTATTTATATATAATATAGAGTTTTAGTAGTGTTATTAACAGTAATAATGAGCAATTAAACAAAATTTAAACATACAAATTTTCTCAAAAAAATTCAAATTAACTTACTAAATACATACAACATACCATAGATGAAAAGATATATAAATGCAAAACTGACAAAATATTTACCCAACATTATCCGGCTTCAAAAAAATGGGATGACTTTATTCAATAAAATATAGTACAAATTCCATACCTCAATCCATAATGTGCCTGTAAGATAAATTTGAGTTTGGCGACTTAGTGCTATGTTTGAGTTACTTTGCAATTTAAATAAATTTTTAAATTCTAGAAAGATAGCTTTATGTTTATAGGATAGCTCAAATTTCTTGACGACTGTTACATTTTTTTTCTTACAAATAATTGTTCAAATGGGTAAATGTGATGCTTCAAAAAAATGTGCAGAAAATTATAACAAAATTTGGAACTGTTTCGAAATGTGATGC